AGAGAGAAAACAACTACTTCTGTTCTTCGTGTTTCTTTGTACCACTGACGTAAAAGTAGCCTAATCGAGTAACTCTATAAACTAGCTGCACGAACATTCATTATAATTGTCACTGGTTTAAAGCGTCATTACATTACCAATACAAATAATTAAATTTAGAACGTTCAGTAGAACTTTAAGTCGTCATTAAACCTTAATGGATGTTTGTGCAAATAGGTGTATATATTGTTAATATTATAAACGCGAAAGTTTGTGGGATTCGATTTATGAATCTATCTAATCTCTTACACTATTGAACGGATTTTGTTGAAATTTGGTGTGCCGGTAATTCTAAGTCTGAATTCACGTATAGTCTGTTTTTCATCCCACTACACGGTTGCTTATGGATAAATGAAGATCCTATAAAGTCATCGTATAAGCCCCGCGAGCGAAGCGGCTAGCGAAAAACTATTTTTATATTATTAATTACGAGAATGATGATAATATGACTACTGCATTTTATTTATATTAGCACATCAGTTTGATAAAATAATTATGTTACATCATTCGACACAAATAACATGATATTGATAACTTCATAGAAGACGTCCTAAACTACTTATCTATTTAATTTCCTAGTGATTTCTGGTGTAAACTAGTTGATGAGTTAAAAAAAATTACGCCATTATTGCGGGGTTTATCGATTAAATTAATAGAAGAGAGACCTGAAAAATGCTATGTGACGTCAATAGAAAAACATTAGCTAGCTTCCACGTCGCTTTCCGCTGTGGGTTCGCTGACATCTTTTAAACTTATACAGCGGATTTTAATACGATTTTTATCAATATACACACCTCAAGAGGAAGGTTTGTATTATATTATAGGACCATGGAGGCAAAGTCGCTGGCGAAACGCTAGTTTGTAATAAAATCAGTTTACTACTTTTGCTTACAATTATTTGCCTTGGTTACCTTTTGAAGTAGATTTCATTTGAATCAAGCTCTATGTTACAGCCCTTGATGTCGAGTTCTAGTCTGAATTTGTATATGTATCATGCATGCATGTATCATGCAGGTTTATGTATTATCAAGATTTTTATTTAAGTTTTTTAAGTGTTTATAAGAAGGTGTACATTTTTTGCTTCTGTTTCTTGAAATCAATTAACTGATTTTATTTAATGTTTGTCTAGACATTTAATCATATGTAGCAGCCTTATACTCATATTCAGTATTCAGAAAATTCGGCCTCTCTTTCCAATAATTATTGCTGAATTTCTGTGATGAACTTCTTCAGAACTTTAAGGAAATTCAAGGGTTCTAGATAAAAATTTGTATAGATGCATTATAGACACATATTAACTTTAAGGTAATAAAAATTTCGTCAGTAACTTTCATAATACAATTTAAACATATGTATTAGTAATGTTTTCAATATTGATATGTCGTGTAATTGATTACAAGAACATTACATTTTTTTATCAGAAAAAAGTATTTGATTTGTTTTTAGCATGCAATAATATTATTGATTAGTCACGAATTTCTTACGGAGTATTACCATCAGAATATTATATTCTATAAGCAGGTATTATTAGTATATTTTGAATACATTGCCTGTAAAATACCACGCCAGACACGTGCGTACATAATTGATCACTTCTTTTAAATACTTTAAGGAAAGAGGAAGAAGTTTCCATTTGGCAAAATGCACAAAAAGGCCCTCTTTATGTCTTTTTCTAATAAAAATCTAGATTTAGCCCCCAAAAGAGCCAAATTAGCATCACTGGCTGGTCATAACTTAAATCCAGACTGTAAGCTATTCGGGTGTAGTTATTTTGAGGCACAGAATTTCGACTTTTCCGCTTTTGGAACTCAGACCTTCCTTTAATATTGTACCTGCCAGATGAGTGTTCAAAGATTTGATGACTTATTTTAGCTCATAGTTTTTGAACACTCATTTGAGCTCACAGTGACCGGGGGTGAGTGAGACGTTAGACCAGTCCGACGTCTAGTTAAAACATGGGGACAACTCACTAAACACCCAACGATACACCCTCACTTTTGGAAGAAGTGCATGGGATCCAAAAACCTGGTCTCCAGAACACTGATTTCTAAAATATAATTAGGATAAGGATATAATATAAGTAGCTTTCTGTTAGGGGTTTTTTCTCATGTAGTTCTTAAGGAAACGACTCCTGGGATAAAAAGTAGCCTATATCGGCTCACTGAATAGTACAGTGGCACAACTCAAAAACCATAATTTCGAGAAACGCTCTCCGAAGTTATGAAAATTTAATATATTTATAATTTTGAAATTCAATTTTTTAGCATAACAGTTAAATCGTTTGTATTATATTATTACTGTTAAGTTTTTTATTTTTTCTTTAACTTATCTATGGGATGCCACTACAATGTTGTGGCGTTTTCTCGAAATAATGGTTTTTGAGTTGTGCCACTGCACTATTTGGTGAGCGATATGGTAATTCAGAATACAAAAAAGAATCCCTATGCAAAGTTTTGGCAAAATTTTGTTTTAGTGAGGGCCTACATCCAAAAGAATCCTCACGCAAAATTAAAAATTTCTAGCATTTATAGTTTCTGAGCTTTCAATCATTATTCCAACTTTGCAAAACAAATATTTCTAGTATGTAAATGCGATAAGCGCATTCCGAACACGTTACGTTGAATTAGTTTGATGCTTTAACCTTAAGCGGGACTGAACCAGGGACTTTCCGCATGGGGGTTTTATTTTCCTCAACCAATATAGTTTTATGTATGCTTCTAAAAATAAGTAAGGTTCCAAGTAATATACAACAATTAAATTTAAATTTAATGTTAAATGATACTGGCTAAGAAGCCTTATTATAAGGTGTCCGACTTGGACTTAAGGCGTTCTTCCTATTTTAATAGTCAGTTATTGGTTGACATATAATTAATTTATATTGTTAATATTGATTCGGCAATGGCATGATTTTTGTTATATTCGCCATTTCTATTAGAGCTCTTGTTTCTTGGTCATTCTTCTTATCAGCCATAAGACTTATTCGAATAGATATAATTTTGTCTTTGACGATGGCGAAGTAGTGAGCGCATTCGGTCTGTGATGTGGAGGTTAATCGTTCGCAACTTTTTCTCGTTCGCGTATCACACAGTCTTGATCCATATAATAATATATATCTCTATCCATGTCAATGACATAATGTAACTTAGAGGAAGTGCGCTTCTGTGTGTCTCTGTATGTAATATTTTTATCAATTTTTATTTTGTGTACTAATGGCTAGACATGTTCATACTGAATATTTAATTAAGTTCGTTTGTCTATACTTATTGTCTTTCTTATTCATTTGAGTAAGAATCTCTTCATAAGAGCCCTTGTTCAAAAATTATAAGACACTATATTTTATAACATTAATTGAGATATAAAAACTTAAAAAAAGGGAAAGCGGAGGGTTTCTTTATGTTATTAGTTTAATGATAGGAGTTTAATAGTATTTTCTTGAATAAGTCGCTTTTGAGATAATTTTAATTATTTAAGTTTGAGTTCGGTTCTATTTTTTTTTGTTTTTATTTCATGCTTAGTGATATTGACATTTTTTATATAATAGGGAACACTTAAAATATAAAATGTTTATTTAATAAAAACTTTCAATATAGTGAAAGTCTTAGAAACGGAGATTTTGTTTATTTGCTCTATATCATTTTTCCAATAATGTATACTCATATTATAAAGAGGAAAGATTTTATAGCCTGTTTGTTTGTTTGCATTGGACATGCTAAGGAACTTAATCAACTTTAATCAACGCAATCTAGCGGGGGACATAGGCTATAATTTAAGGAGGTGAAGTCGCGGGGAAAGAGCTACTTTGATAGAAATTGGTAAGAAGGAAAACTTCATAAAAATATAAAAATTATGCTTTCTGATTTTGAATGAATTCGAAATTCACAAGCTTTTAATTCGAAATTCATAGATTATATGTTTATATGTAAAAACGTATTTTGTTTGGTTATAAAAGGAAATAAGTAGAATATATATATTTCGATAAAATTAAATGGGACCACTTCGGTGCATTAGCATTTGTTATATGCTTAAATCCAAAATTATGAAGGAGGGAAATTAAAACTTTAAATGACATTACTTTTTTTTAAACGTGTTCCTGAAATTCGCAAATATTCAAGGTTTTTGTGCTGATAACTTCTAATTAAATAACCGCGTTATTGTCACTGCATCACTATTCTTCATTGATAATTAAGATTACAGTTACGAGTTCCTATTTAACGTTTCATAATTAATTATGAGTGACACCAACCAATAAGGTTTCATAATATTTTCGACTCTACCTTAACATTGTAATAAGTTTGAATTTGCATTGATAGTTGTTATTTATTTTTTGCGAGCGGCATTCCGTTGAGCCAGCGTCTTTCAAACGATCGTGGTTAAAACTTTTTATTTTACCTTTTCTTTGTAATCAGGTGACATTTAATAATATCCATATTTCATAATCTATTTTAAACTGAAATTATTACAGAGTAAGTTTTTAAATCAATTATAAATTATGATTAACCCAAGCCTCGATTCAGCGTTAATGGTGTCTCGACTACTTGCACCGTACAACTATCTATTGAAGTTGCAATATTATTTATGCAATTTCTTCTTCACAAATTAATGTTGATTGTTGTTTGGTTATCTAGTAACAAGAGCTCTGTCAAAAATAGCTGTCACTAAAGTTCCATTGACTCGCATAATTACGATTACTTCAGTAAAGTTAGGAGTCTGATATGCTGTCGTCTGTAATGTGTTTAATTAATACATTACAATCAGTAAAATTTGTAAATATTTGTTTATCCAAATTCATTTATAGAAATAAATATAATATAGAAAATAAATATAATTTATACAAAAAAATGTAACCGTCGACGTAATTTCTCGGGGGCTGTATCTGTAAACACTTTGAGAACCACTGTTTCGAACCTTAACTGAACAGATAAAGTTTGAATGTCGAATGCGGCGATTTAGTATTACTTTCAATTTTGAGCGGAGTCGACGCTAAGCAAATTATTTATTGTCTCTCTCTTTTATAATATAACAATGCCTTCAAAATAGTCCCATTTACCTGCTTTTTACGTTATACCTTAAATTATCATTATGAGCCGTTCGGGCGTTCTGTTTTTTGTTGTGTGGTGTGTCATTAAAAGAATAGATGGTGCAGTTATAAGGGACGATTTGTACCGCTTAGATATAGTTCATTATAATGATTTCCATGATAGGTGAGTTTTATATATTTTTTTTTTTATTTGAGTTAACACTAATAAACCTTTTTCCATCAAATTTAGCTTATATACAAAATTTGGTTTGTTTATACCATTATTATTTTTAAGTGAGTTTTGTATTCGTAATGATGCTATTTATATTTAGCCTAGAGATACAAGTGCTTCAGCTCTTTTTAGTTCAGTTATGAGCATTTGCTCGGATAGCTAGTTCAATTCAATAGTCACTGGTTCAATTCCAGCTTAGATACTATGTTAAAACACCGCGTCGAATATAGCGCTGTTAAAGCATAAAGCGTTCATATTTATTTAAAATTTTATTTATTAGTACGATATCTTAAATTTCACCTCGACTTTATGAGACTGGGGTTGGGACATAATACTTTACATTCTTAATCCTCTAATATTCAATGGATTAATTATTTTTTTTACTTTATTCATTATGTAATAAACAAGTTATTTGTTATTACTATGTCATTGCATGCATTCCCCCTTATTCTTTATTTGCGTTGCCTGGAAGAGTTTGCTGCTTAGCAATAAGGCTATCTTTGTATACTTTCTTTCTTATCTTACTTCTTTATATATATAGTGTACGTACAATAAATCATATAGTTATTATTAATATAATATTTTTTGTGCAGAAAAATTACCAACCTAAATCTTTGTTTACAACCGTGTAGACGACCATGCTTAAAACAACTGTTAAAATATATTTTATTTACACGCTTTACTTACAACACTTTAATTTGAATAAACATCGTATTTTCTACGCATTTCTATTTCTGTCAGTTTGTTCTATTTGAATATCTTGTTACAACTTAAGGCACTTTCTTTCCGTAATTACTTTCCTTTTTTTTGTAATATACAATGTGCTAGACTTCGCACGTGTAAATTATAGTCTATGTTAACCCCGTATGATGTAGCTACCTATAGTTGTAAGAATTTTTTAAATTGATCTTGTAATTTGGGAGCCTATTTGATACAAATAAATAAATAGACAAAAAATTCTATCCTCTTTATAATATTAGTATAGAGGACCACGGTTTGTCAAAATTATTGACTAAGCCCCGGCTCTTTTGCGAGTCTGTCATGATTATCTTTCTTTTTCGTAAAATAATTCGTCCGAATTAATAATCATATCACAGAAAAATAAAACTCTGAATTATCATAAGGAAACAATCTAAAGGGTCACAACTCTGAGATATAAGCATCAAATATGACTGGGAGTGGTACTCTACAACATTGATAGTATGATGAAACATGATGCTTTACTGATAAAGCTGATAATAAATCAATCTGAGCTAAAGTAGGTGTACGGAATAAATTTTCTTTACACTTCGCAATGTCACATTAGAATTCTGACGGGTCCCCTCTTAAAGGCAGGAAATTATAAATCATTACATTATTTATTTATAATGGTATTATAGTCGTATAACCTTAATAAAATCTTATTATATTTTTTGATATTCGAATTGGATATTAATGGATTTAATGTTTTATTTGATTTAAAAACTTTCTTTTCAAAAAGTATTATCAGGACAGAAGTATTTTCATAACTCGACGAACTTCTGTAGTCGTTTTGTGTTGACCATTGTAACGCTTATAAAAAAAAGAGTTATTAGTTATTGGTGGGTTTAGGAGCCGTAAGAGCGTTAACAGATAGTAATAAAACAAATAATTTTTATAATAAACGTTTACTACCCAAAAAGTAGGGAGACATGAGATCTCAGGGTTAGAGTTCAACGGGAAGCTCGCAACGTGGATCAGTATATCGATAGGTACAATTATATATGGCCCTAGTCAACCGTTCGCAATAGCTAGGTCTCGGTCATTCACTGTCCTGGTAGTGCACCGGCGAGATATACGGCCGAAGAGGTCCAGTGGTCTGGATGTTAGGGCCAGAAGATGGGTCCGAAGCCAGCGCTTCAGCACCCAGATGTTAGGTGACCATGAAGCTTCTCAAGGGCGGGAAGGAACCTCAATACGGGGATATCACTTCGAATACATTAATTAAAGAAACATAATTATTGAAACGTAAATTTTACGTTCGCGACTGCAGCGGCCGCGATAGAATATTAAAGGACTATATGTTAATGTTACGCTGCCTTCGGTTGAAATGTATCACAAGGAGCGCATCCACGTGTTTTGTGCCTTTCATAAAACTGGATTGCGCCTGCGACGCGGAGAACAATAGCTTCTAGCAAGACAAGTTGTCAAGCCCGTCGCCGTTTATCTATATAGAAAATTATTGGTTTGTCAATTTTCGGACAACAAATTTTATAGTAAATGTTTTAGAAATAAATGTATTTGTTTAATAAAATATAAACCGTTACACCATCACATATTAACTTTCTAAATTACCTGCCCAACAAGTACCTTAATTGATATTGTCGAATTTCTTACTCACTTGTTACTTTCGCTAGCATTGTCAGTTTATAAACTTACTAGAATTCTCTAACCTAATCTAAAAATATAACCTAACCGAATTTTGCGTTACTTTCTAATCCAACTCTTACTCTATAATAATCAATCCTCTTTATGCAATTAAATTCGTGATCATCCATTTAAAAAGGCCTGTGCCTCATGTTTAAGTAAAGTAGGTAATTGGATTGAACAATCGTAATAGAAAGCGGAAAAAAATAAATAACACTTCTAAATTTTTAAAATAGACATTAAATTGGCTCGTGAAATTCAATCTCAAAAATTATAAATACACATGACAACAACACATATTGCTCAGATTTAACTAGATAATGCAACCCCTAACACGTAGATATATTTTCTACATTGATTCGAGCGGGAATCGATGAATATCAGAGATGGATACACCTTGAAATCGGCGTGCGTGTAATCGTATACGGTTATATCACAGTATAAACTATGGTTAGGTTTACATGTAAGTTACTTTATACCTAAGGCCTAAAAAACGGGTGTTACAATAATCTCGAAGTTTTCCGACGCATTATTTACGCCATCGCTTAAATAAAATGTTATGAAAATTACGGTCTTTAGCAAAATTATAATGAGCGGTTGTCGTAGTTTAACCGACGGCCATGACCGGCCGCGAGCTCAGTTGATACTCGGCATAAAAATTATTATCCACAGTTTACAATAGAAAACCATGAGAAAACGGTATGACAATCTACGTAGGTATTTCATTTGTATTTTTGTGCTTTTCTAAATAGGATGCATGCACCTTTTCATAGGGTAGAAGACCCGGTTTTAGCCACTGCCCAATTTTTGGTCATTTTGCATTTCAAGGCGTTCTAGTCACCTAAGCACATCGGCAAATACCGTGTGCGGTTTTTAAAATGTTATATTTCACTTCCTCGTAACACTTAAAATTGGCAAAATCGATGGCCTAATTGTTTTATTTAAATATCTAACGCATTCCGTTTCAAAGGTATTATGATAATAAGGTATTATAATTATTTAAATATTTTGTATTACTATTCCAGAACAAATGATGGTTTGAATAATCAAGAGACATAACTTAGTAACTTAAAGTAATATTTAGGTCTAACGTTTGCCTTCAATAATTCCAATTAACGATATCGTACATTCGGTATCTTTTAAAAAAAACATGGTGATCGCAATCGCTATTACATGTCAAGTATTTGTAGCATGAAGTTGATGAACAACTTTCAAATGTCAAATTGGAAGGGATTGCGATCTATTTTAAAAGCAATTCCAAGCACTGCCTCTCATTGCTCTGGAGATAAAAAAGTTTTTTAATTATTTACTGGCGAAATATTATTTTATAAAGTACTGCACTATTTCCTCGGTCAAATAATTACTCGTATATTTATAAATTAAATAATTTAAAGAAATACAAAAACCCACTGCGTAAAACGAATTTAAAAAATAAAGATAAAGATGATTTTAAAATACCTATTCAACGATACCCCACTTGACATAGTTCATCGATTTTTTTTTCATTTTGACAATATGGCGTCTGGTTGTCGCTGTGAATTTGATTATTGTCATGTCTTTAGTGACACTCGCAAGGTTAAGACGATTCGATTGACGTAAGAATCATCAAAATCGGCCTACGAATTTGGTCGCTAGAACGCCACATAGAAACAAAAATACATACATACATAGACATATATAGACTGATAAACACATAACCCTCCTTTGCGTCGCGCAGTAGGGTAAAAAAGGATGTTATTATAACAAAAAAAAACCCGCCAAGGGCGAGTGGGACGCGCGCACGTTCCGTACCGGAAACGAGCAAAAAATTACGTTTGTTGTTTTGGAGCCACACATATTAATTTTATTCTAGTTTTTAGTATTTATTGTTGAAGCAGCAACATAAATACATCATCTATGAAAATTTCAACTCTCACGGTTCATGATATAGAGCCTGGTGACAGACAGACAGACAGCAAAGTCTCATTAATAGGGTTCCCGTTTCACTCTTTGGGTATGGAATCCTAAAAATGTAACTATGTGAGTTTTTATGATATCACATTTTGATTGAGACAGAATTTAGAACTAAACCATACTCAATTACAGCCTATTTGAACCTTTCTTCTTTGTAGTCGAGATGTTAGTGATTTTTGCTGTACGCGACATTTAATAACAGACTTAGCTATTTTTTTTATATACGTTAAAAGAGTTTCACTACGTTGAATATTTTTATCTGTATAGATATTTCATATTTTTAGTGTTACTTATTATGTAAATATAACCAAAAGCATGACATAAAAATTAAAAAAAATAAAACCAACTTCAATAATACTCAACTCAAAAGCGACTTATTCAACTGTCAATTAATTAATAACCCACAGAAGACTGTGTTCCTGTAAAAGAGCTGTTAAAAGTGTTCTGTCACATGCCGTCACTCACTTTTGTAATAGGTTATTAAAAAATATTCTGATAAAATAAGTTTCTTGAATTTTAAGCATCCAATCCGTTCGGAAGTTATCTGCATACATACTTTTCGGTAATTCATTTTTAAATATAAGATGAAATGACAAATGTTTACACATTTTTAAGCATTTTTCATTAAAGACATTATTTACTTTCATGGTTAAGGTAGTTTGACGACTTATATTTATTTATTCACTAGTTATTTTCCTACAACTTCGCTTGCGTAAATTATAGCCTATTTCGTCCGCACATAATGTAGGTCTCCGTAGATGAAAGAATTTTCAAAATCGGTTCAGTACCTTGTGTAAGAGCTAATTGAGGAGATTGAGGGTAATATATTTTGAATATGTCGTAGCCAAATGGTCTACCTGCCGATTGGGCGGCTAGCCCTATATAGAATAGCGTCATTCATTTGAACGTTTGCACGACGATCAGTAACCATCACAATGTCCTTCTACTGCGCGGCTGTACAAAGTTCGCCAGGAGTTGGTTAAAATGCGAATCACAATTATTAATTTTGTGAAAATATTGGTCAAAATCGGCCCTTTTTACGTCCCCACTGCGAGGGCATTCTTCGGACTTTCCTTATATAGTTAAGTTAAGGAGGATGGACCATAATAGATCACGCTGACCCAATATAGATGGAAGGGTATTAACGACTGCAAATACAGCCGGCTCCAATGGGTTCACGTGCCTTTTGAAATAAGGAGTAGCTTGACATAATATTTTTTTAGCTACCCATCCTGTAACAGTTGCTTAGCGACGATCGCAAGCACTTATCCACAACACCACCAAGCTACTTCTAAATTTAAATTTTATTAAATTATTTATTAATACACTACAACAAACAGCTATATTTACCTATTTTGAAATACAGATGGATAAAAGGACGAATCTGATTTTTACATGTAACTTAATAGAAAACTGAAATCTTTTCAAAATTCTTTGAACCAAATGATAGCACAGTTTGAGTACACTTTACGTCATCTAGTATAGCTCAAAATATATAAACATAATTTTTCTATCGAAAATAAAACGACTTGTACTTAAGCATTATATAGATAGGAACTTAAAAATATTTTATTTTGATATAAATTAGTCGATTCATATTTTTTATCGCTATCTCATAAAATATTTATAAATAACATAAGATAGATTTACAAATCAAATAGTAAACTCTGGTTGCTATGGCAAGATTTTTATTCCTTATAAAAACGGGACAAAATATAACCTACCATTTTCCCTGGGATGAAACCTATATTGATGAAAAGTGGTTTCATACAATCATTTTTCACTCTTCTTGTCAGGAATTCTCCTTATATATATTTGATTATTGTATATTTTTAATAAGACAAGCAGATAAGATGTATAACTCTTTGATCTGAGAGATGACGAACCAAATATAAATATAATTTATCGCGTTTATCAAATGTAGATCAAGGTATTCATAATTTATTCAATTAATTATGCATACATGTTACAGTTAAAACATCAAAAAATAATTTACTTCCTTAATTGAGGAGTTAATTTACTATTGTTTATGTGCACCCTAAGTAGGGTAAGTTAACGTACACTTATAAGTGTACTCCCTATTTATTACATTTAAAAAGGATCATAGAATCCTTAGTATCGACCGTGTCAGTTTGTTTACCATAAATGTAAATTATGAAACGAACATATAGATGAATTATCTCTGTTGCTACGGGTCATATGTATTTATTACATTGCTACATTTTCCAATATTTACTTATTTATTTATATTCCAGATTCGAGGAAACATCGTTGCCGTATCCAGTTTGCAAGTCTAACGACTCTAATTGCTTAGGTGGCTTCGCTCGTCTTTATTCTGGAGTCCGAATGTTGCTGAAGGAAAAACCTGATGCTCTCCTGCTGAACGCCGGAGACACCTTCCAAGGCACATACTGGTACACGTTGCTGAAGTGGAATATAATACAGAAGTTTATCAATATGTTGCCAAACGATGTTCATGTAAGTTGTTACATACTTCAAAGTTTAAAATCAAAGTCTGAATTCTCTTTTTTATAATTGTAAACAATAATGATTTGCAGTATGTTATCATCAGATCAGATCAGATGATGTGTTGATCACCAGTTAGTAGCCATTTCTAAATATGAAAAAAGAAAAATACTATACGATATAATAGTAAATTGGAAAATTACTTCATTAGAGTGTGAAATAGTTTTCCATTATAATAATGAAAATAACTTAAGAAACAAAAAATAAACAATTTATTCTTTATGCCATTAACATTCAAACATCTTTTGTTCTGATTTTCCTTTGTCATGGCGTGACTTACATTATAAAAGATACGTCAATTGCGATTCTTCTCAGATATATCGCTCTTGACAGAATGGTCACTATAAGGTAGTATTCCAACAATTTCTTATCACCTCAATTCATTCTATCGATTTATGAAAAGTGTCTCTTACTCCTGATTGTATTTAATATCGCATAGATAACCTGCTTCGTGGTCTGGTTCATTCGACTCACTTCTGGGCCACCAAACGCTCTACGGAGTCATGGTTTCGCCTTAAAAATTTGAGAAGTCAGCAATAATCAGACATTATTCGTCGTTGGATTAACTTGAGTTTCTTGACTTGATGTAATCATTAATCAATATAAATAGCGTTGTTAAAACATTTTATAGGGGAAACAAAAATACTTTCGACTGGTTTTTGTGAAATCTAGAAATAGTAGTGTCGACAGTATATAGTTATTTTAAATACTAAATCAACTGTAGCCTTGATAGTAGACTTATTTTCGTCTCACAATGTTCCTTTGCAAAAAACATGAGAAAAGATTGGAGCGTTAATGTTTAGTGTCGAGGTCATTATACAATGAACAATATGTTAGAAGTAATTTTGTAATTCAGAGATTTCGAATAACTATTTGAATTCCTAATACACATATTACATATCTTTATGATGGTAATAATTTTAAAAAGAGCAAATATTTTAGATGGATATATTATAAAATACTTACAGTAGATAAGTCGGAAGTAGTATTCTTAGAATAAGTTTTCGATATATCGTGAAATTCATCTTGCCCTGTCCTATTAAACGATATTAATAATATGTAAGTTAGAACAGGACACATGACGACACAGTCGGATATCGAATTTATAATTAAGAGTACAAGGCTTTGCTATGATCAGATGTGTTTATTACCATTACCAAGTAAAGATTTTTAATGTTTGGTAAAAAGATTTTATAAATACATGAGAACTTGATTTAAATAAATTTATCGAAAATGTTTAAATTAAACTTTCAGGCTATTGGTAACCACGAGTTTGATGATGGAGTAGCGGGTTTAGCACCGTACCTTGCGGCACTCCAAGCTCCTGTAGTAGCCGCTAATATAGATTCAAGCAAGGAGCCGACGCTGAATGGTTTATTTAAGCCACATGTAGTCCTTGAGAGGAAAGGAAGAAAAATTGGAGTAATAGGTGTCACTACAACTGAAACAGCGGTGATTATTTAATTATGTTATTCTTAATTTTGCAAAAAAATTGACAAATTTTCTAACTAAATCGAAACTTACCTGGCTTTCTATTCGCCGGAAGAAAGATCTGCACACTCTTATGCTTCTCTAGTTTATTCTTATTTTTCAAACCTCTTCATCCAGGTCTTAAGGAAAACTGTGCTTAGTGTTCTACTTCCACTCTGACCATTAATATTATATCCTTCCCGTTCCCATCTTCTCATCCTATTCTTTTTCAGTACAGGCTGTTTTTATTCTTAAGTAAAACGGAACGTTCTTAATGAAATAACCGTCGTGTAGTGTATGGTAATATTCATGATTTTCAAATCACAATAAATATAATATTTAATCAATTTTGCATTCACTATGCTGTACTAGAAAATATTCTATATATAATCCGCGACGTTTGGGTGGATTACCTGAACATCGATAAAAATACGCCCTGTAGTAGTGAAAAAGTAACAAGTGCTTGATAAATTCGTCAGTTCTGTTAAGTAGCTAAGCAGTTAAAGTAGTCACCCGGATTGGGAAAGGTGGTGGGTTGGAATCCCATCTCAGAGTACCAGGGACGAAGTATATTTTTCAGTATTTTTCACTAAGAATAACAAGGCATTTGTTTTTGCCTTATAAATTGATGTGAAAAGATTGGAGACACCTAGATATTTATTTGCTTTATATTAGATTTTAATAAAATTGGGAAACATATTTCAGACTTCATCTAACCCTCAGGGTGTTGTATTCTTAGACCCTATAGAAGCTGTTAAGAAAGAAGCAGAAATATTAACAAAACAAGGAGTTGATATCATAATAGTTTTATCTCATTGCGGTTTGGATATCGATGAGTAAGTATGAAAATGCCTTAATAAATTACATTGTTATCTCATAACTGATATTATTAGAAATAAGCATTGAATTAAATCAAATAATGATACAAATAAAAATGTGTTAGAAATTATAATCGAAAAAAATATATATTTATCAATAACTGAACTAAAAGAAATTTATAATATAGTATATAATTTATACCTGGAAAGGAACTATCGGAAAAAGTTGGAAGATTATAAATCGGAATTTATGATCATAGCTAGCTTAACAGTTACAAATAATTTATTATCCATATAAAAGTCATTGGCTATTTAAATGCAAAGCGAAGCTAAGCATCCAGCTTCCATATTTTCCTATAAGCCGGGCTGTAAGTGCCGTAAACTTAAATTCAAAGTGTCAGATGATAGTCCAATAATCGTATGATATATCAAACCAAGTGAACTAGAAGAATTTATACTTTGCCTTTTTATTTAATTACCGCTTTTATTTAAATCATTACGTGATTTAACACCACTAATATAAAGGTAGGGGAAAAATAAGTTATGGGTGTAGGCATGAGAAAGACATTAAATAAATACATCACCAATACTTTTACTACAATTTTTTTTTTTTTAATGTAGCATTAAAGCGTGTACAATTATCGAAAAACAGGAAAATATAAATATTCGTGAAACTGAGAATTCATCTAGGTACCTTGAGTTACAATATGTTAATTCTTGATAAAAAAAAGTCCTTGGCGTCACATTGCATGTGTTTGCATGCATGTGCTTTCCTTATATTGAGAACTGTTGGTATTGTTGTCGCTAATATTTAAATTAATACATCTGTACTCCACTGAAGACTTTATACAGAGGTGTGTGAGAGATGTGTAAAAGAATTGATCCGTACTTAATACGTTAGTAATATCTAATAGCTAAAATTACTTCGATATCCTGAACGCACTGCAATTAAAAACAAGTCTGAAACTTTGCACATACGTAATAACGTAACACATAGACTTCTATACAAGCACATGCATCAGCCGATTGGAAACGAGAGCGGCAATGTACGCGATTGTATACCTAAACCGCCTGCGTTTTAATTCCGTGCAGTATAAGCACATTGAAATGTACCTAAGATTAAAGTAGAAAATGAATTGCACACATTTTTGGTAAGATGTACATTCGGTAAAAATGTAGATTTATTTTTCGTTAGATAAGTTAATCTTATAAATAAATCCCAGGAACTTTTCTCAATACTAGTAGATTCTCTTTGGCGAACGTTCCTATAATAGTTTTTTAAATAGTAAATTACACGAACACTAGAATTCTTAATTACCGACACAAATTGACATACATAGAGCTTTATTAAACCTAAATGGAAGTTGCAACTGACCGTAAGTGATATACAATTAGTTAATCATGTGTTATTATAGAAAAATGGCTAATGATATTGGAGAAAATATTGACATTATCGTCGGAGGTCATTCTCATAGCTTGCTTTGGAACGGGAAATCTCCGAGCAACGAATCTATTTCGGGGCCATATCCGGTTATTATCGAAGCTAAGGAGAAACCCGGACATAAGGTGAGTAAGCTTTAATCAAATTATTTCTGAACATAATAGACTAAAGTGTGTGAAAGCAGTTAAAGGACATTATTAGAAGTATAAGCTTTTCATATGTATGTCAATGAAATGTTAATTTATAGAATGATGCTCATTTTTGCAACTAATAAAACTAATAAACAATGACATTTGAGTTAAGTATATTACCAACTTGAAATTCCATTAGCGTTCATACGTCTTGCTTGAGATATCTCTGTAAAAGTTGGTTAGATTTACTTTGATTAACTTTTGAAATAATAGCTATTTAATGTTTTTAAATTATAAAACTGAAATAATATGTAATAGGAACTGTATCAAATGTTTTCAGTCAATAATGTGCCTAAAAATAATAATAAGGTTAATGCATGAATAGGTTATAATGAAAATTAATTATAAATTATAACTAATGATACCTATTTTACATACTAAAACTATTGCACACTGTCATACAGTAGAGGTATGTGATACCCTTATTTTATGACATATGTTGTACCCGCAACATATTTTATGCAAAAAATGATTGATTGATTGATTAATAGATGGTTGGCTTTAAACAAGGTCACCTTTGTCCTTAAGATGAATTTTTCCTTTTTTTTGGTATTGATTCTCAATAGACGGATCTCTTCGGGATCTATCCTTATAATGACCAGCTTTTCCGAATGTTGCATAATATGATCATGATCCGACAATGTTTCATCTTATTATGGTATACATACCATTCTTAACATACTATTACATACCATATTATTCTTAAAGGTTATGGTGGTGACAGCATCCGCGTTTACGAAGTACTTAGGTAACATCACAGTGTACTTCAATCAGAAAGGAGAATTACAATCGTACGATGGAACCCCTATATTCTTGAACAGATCTATACCGGAAGGTAACGTTTTATAATTATTATAATATGAATTCATGTATTATATCATATTCATTTAGCTCAAATATTGTATATACACACATATTTAGTTTGGTTAGACAATTTCTGGTTTCTTATTAACAACAACATCATGATTTTGCATTTGTGAAATAACTTTTTTAAAGTATATATTTTTATAATCTGCAATCTGAAAAGTATTTACTGGAACCATTTTAGAATCCAGGTTTAGTTTTAGAATCAAAATTCTCTGTAATGTTTGTTTAAAGATCTAAATTCTTTTAATAATTTCAGTACGCCTTATGAATACGAAATTTTAAATAATCTTCTTGTCAGTTTTAGATAATGTAATATTGACTGTAGACTGACCAAAATCTCTGACCTATTTTTCTTTATTTAATCATTATAAAGGTAGCAAAATTCCGCTTTGAAAATTACAATTCATTCGCGCTGAAGTTTAACAATTCATAAAAATAATAAAAAAATCTCGATAATATTCTTACAGATCCCGAAATAAAGGAAGCACTAAAACCCTACAAAGATGAATTATATTCGATAGTAAATGAAGTGGTGGGATTTGCACACAACGATCTTATTGCGGAACCCTGTGGTTCTACAGAATGTACTATAGGCAATTTTATTGCTGACGCTTACTTGGAAACAGTGAGTAAAATATAAAACAATTAGTATCATTGTAGTATTGGATATATTTGTATAATATATACATATAATATAAACTTGATATAGATACTGAAAAATAAATTGTTTATCCTAATCGCAAATTTGCATCACAGGTTCAAGAAAGAAATATATCCGACATTCCTCATGTAACATTTATACTAAGAAACATGATTCGTGGATCCATAGAAGGAGGCGGTAATACTGAATATTCTTTTATAATCATTATATTTAAAATAACAGTTAACAAAGTAAATAAAAATTTTCATTGTGAATTTTGGATTCATAATGCCATCTTATATAAAAAAATGCACGAAAATAAACCTTTTCAAGTACCAAGCTGCATTCAAACCAATCACAATCACTAATGTGTTCCTTTCATCTGTTTAGTTTGATCGCACTAATGGAAACACGCTCAATTGTAGCAAAATAAAAAAGTCCTTTAAAATCAAATATAATAAAGAATATTAATAATTAATGTTGAGAAAGTAACAAAAACTAATAGTGGAAATCTAATAAATGAAATGTCGTTTATTAAGTCAGTGTATAAAAGCAGAATGATGTTTTTAGAAATAAATAGAGGAGCTATCATCAACGTATTGCCATTCACGAATAAGGTGGTGACGGTGCAAATCCAGGGACGACACTTGTTGGATGCCCTTAAGCGGTGTATGACTTCTTATTGGCAAGAAAGTCCTTTTAACGGTCCTTGGATGCCACAGGTAGCAGGTAAGAGAGAACACTAGTAGAGGAATAATTATCATTATAATTGGCAAATCAACTTTCCTACCAAAACCTAATACAATACTAATAGGTCTTCACTAAAGACAGAATCATATAGGGAAAATTGATCACCACCATCCGGGTTTAGTGTGTATACTGAAGATGCAGTTGGAATCAACGGCTAAACGTGCCGTCTAAAGCACAGAGGAACTAGAGATTAATATTTTACTTCTATGACTGACTTTTGCAAAAGATAAAGCTCAACATTTTGATATTTTTTAGACTTCAAGCACAGAGGAACTAGAGATTAATATTTTGGTCGCTATTCCTATGACTGACTTTAGCAAAAGATAAAGCTCAACATTTTGAATTTTTTTTTTGACTTTAGAGATAAAAGTGTTTGAGGCATAGAAATAAATTATAACTCTCATCTTCCCTCATTTCATAATGCAGCCAAAACCTAATACAATATTAATCGTGTCAAGCGTATATATGTCTATAAATTGAAAAGGTTTGATTCCCATATAGCAGTTGAACAGGTTAAGATAGAATTAGGAGCATGTAACAGAAGAAGTAAAATATAATTAATTAATTCATAAAGCATCATAATTACTTCCTTGTAGCACTGAGCTACCCAGCATCTAATCAAGCACTTGTTACCTTTCGCTACTACAGAGAGCTTTCCCATCAATGTTCAGACATCCACCCAAACATGTGAATGCAAAATTTATCAAAATATAATGATTTGGAAAATTAAATTTTATGTGAACTCATAGCGAATTGGCTAATATTAGATATTTTTTAGGAATGCATGTGACTTTGAATACAACCGATAAAACAGTGGTATCAGTATTAGTTAAGGAAGGCGATAATTATAAGCCTATAGATCCAGACAGAATGTATCAAGTCGTCACACTGCATTTCCTTATAAGAGGAGGCAATGGATTTACGGTAAGAAATTTTCATTTCCTTTGCTCAAAAAGTGCGTCATTCTAGCGTACTAAAGCTAAATTAACATTTCAATATCTAGAGAAAAATGCACATTTTTCTTAATTATGTATTTGTCACCAATGAGCTTATAGAAAAGTTTTTATTCAAATGTGAAATACTCTTGGACAAGAACATATTGAAAATTGAATTTAAAGCGCCGATCACGACTTTATTTGGATGTTATTTTTTGTATGAAAAAAGTTGCAAATTTTTAATTATTGCGCCTTCATAAGAAGATTTCGTCAAATTAAATTGATGCTCCTGTTAAAGTTTTCCTTTCCAGAACTTAGAAAGGCGTCAACAAGGCAATAGTGTAAAAAGTTTTCTTACAATAATTAATATTTTTTTTTTTCAGATGTTCAAAGAAAATATTCATAATCTTACACAAGTTGGAGAAGATGCCAAAGTTGTAGAAAATTATCTAAAAAGAGTGACTCCAGTAAATCCTATATTGGATAGGAGACTTATAATAGTTAATTGAGAAATCAGAACTTTACTAGCTTTTTATTATCATATCTTAAGCTTTACAAATGGAGTTTCAATTTCGTATAACCCGAAGGTCTTCTCTGTTCCGAAAATGAAATTTCATCTATTTAAGTAATATGACTCTAGGGAAACGCATTTTCCGATAATTTATAATGCAATGGAAGTAGGACTTGATACTAGCACTGATGCACAAATGGTCATGGATGAATTTTCATGGAATTTTAAGAATGATTCGAATTTTTCAGAATCTCTTTTGTGTGCAATCAGAGAAGGCCCTGTGTTGATTGTACATTTTAAACATTCTCAGTCTATTACAGAGCCTACTTATAGTAAATTAATTAGTTTTCTTTAATAAACCATATCGAATAACGTAATCAATGACATTTTTAATACTACTCGTATCAGAACTAATTAAAAGCTGTGAAATTGTTAATAACGCCACGCGTGTCGTGTTATAACTGTCACTAGATGGCACTACTGAGGATTTTTTTCTACAAATAAAATAATTTTGGTAATGTATTGAGTGATAGTCGAAGAAACTTCTAGATTTAAAAAAAAAATGTGGTTTGAAAAAACTTAATTATGACTTCTTCTATAGATTTGGTTTGAATTTTTCAAAACCTTTATGTATTTGTATGTTAGGTTATTGAGATATTACTGCTTACTTTTTATAAATATTAGTTAATTTATATTATTAAGTAATAGTTATTTTTTGTAACATATTTATAAGATTGATGAATAAGGCCGCCTATTGAGTTGTTTTTCTTATTGTTTGTCTTACTGTTTATAGTCTATGTTTAAAATATTAATTTCAAATGTACTTAATATCGCATAACTTTGTGGAATATTTTATAGCGTACTAGCAATTATTGTAATTTTAACATTTGAATACAATAATATTAAGAATCTAACCGGTTTCTTAAAGCTCAAGCCCGCGCCTAATACTTACTGACATGAGTGTACACTTCATTGTTCAAATAAAATATTAAAAATAGTATGCGTTAGAATATTATGATAGATAAGTTACTCAATACCCGTGCCACACATAGTTAAAAAAAGTGAGTATGTCTGGCGCCAGGGTTATAACAAGTTACATACTCAAAATAATTGTCAAATGATGTCATATTATATTGCAAATAAGTTTTCAAACTTATAGCCTTCAAAATACGACGAGATGATTGATAATAAACAATTTGTATAAAATAGAATTACTGGAGTTTTTTTTTCAATTCCTAGAATAAACCCTTCTCTCTATTATAAAATGAGAACTTTAGTAAAGTAACTATGAAATCACATAAAATAGTTACTGGAACTCCTTGTTCAAGATTTTCGAAGACGAAATTCAGACAAACAAAAAGATGACTTCGAAAATAACTTTTCGAATTAAGAGCCATATGACAAATTTTCACTCTGTGATTTGAGTTCTCGAGAACTTGTTCAAGGTCACGAGTCCACAATACTGTGTTGAAACCACGTTCAAGCTATTTTGATACTTTTCCCAATTTTTGTATTTATTTTAGTATTTCTATGGTGAGATTCATTATCGATTCCCGAATATTTTAAACGACTGCTCTCGAAAAGGAGTCTATTGTTTTTAGAATTAATGTATGTATGTGAGTATTTTTATTGCACCATAACTTTTGAAAGATATAACGGATATGAATGTACAGGGTATCATTAGAAACATCATCCTAAGTAACCACAAAATACATAGAGTATCAGTGAAACTAGCTTAATTATTAATATTAAATAGGTATGGGGACGTGTGACGCCATTTAAAAAAGTATGTTTTTTTATAATCATAACTTTATGGGTATCAAATTAAAGGTCCATTAAAAATATATAATCTGTATACAAAATTAACTGCTCACTAAAATGAATAAAATATAAAAATTATTTAAAAATTAAAAACACGACTGCCAAGATCGGACAAAAATTAAAAGAAACAAGTTTAGCCAAATCATAGGCTATAAATATAAATAGCGATGACAATATATCAATAAAATTATAAATATTAATTAAAAAATATGCGTGCCATATTTTTCGTCGACGATTTCGAAATATTTTCGTCATCCATAGGAAACATGGACTGTTTCCTGTTTGGAAAAGTAGTAAATTAGAATTATATTAAACTAGTTGTGCCCGCGGCTTTATGCGAATGGAAAGTAACCTAAGGTTCTTTTCTCATGGCTAGATGCGATGTTATTCGATATGAATGAACGATATCACACGAATCGCATGCACTTATAAAATGTATGGAAAAACTCGAGTGTTTGCTCATGAGATTGTACTATCTGTCAATATCGGTCACAAATCTCATGGTCTGCGGTATCACTTCAAATGTATGAAGGCGGTAGAACGCTCGATCTGCTTTTGATTTTCTGTTCAATAATATCGAGGAACGATTCATTTGCTCATACTTACCATATCTTAAAAATATATTGAATTTTACAAAAAATACGGCAATATCCGTATATAAACAAATGAAAAGCTCGATGGTGCCGGATAGCTCGTTTGATTTGCGATTGAGGAGGTTAAGGTAGGCCATTGTGATAGGTAGCAGGTTTAATATTAATTCTATTTCTGCATTATCTTTACCACCCCTGCTTTTGGATGGGACTCAGATCGAGTTAACAGACACTGTAAAAAATCTTGGAATTACAATGGATTCAAATCTATCATGGACTGCCCATGTATCTGAGGTTAGTCGTAGGACCTTCTTCTCATTTCACACACTTAAATGCCTTCAAAACTTTTTACCTTTTAAAACTAAAGTGTTACTAGCACAATCCTTAATTATACCTCTTCTTGACTATGCAGATGCATGTTACTTGGATGCCACTGAGGAGTTATTAAACAAACTTGAACGACTTCAAAATCTAGCGATTAGATTTATTTATGGTCTTCATAAGTATGATCATGTGTCACATTTACGTAAGCAGCTCATGTGGCTTCCCATTCGTCAGCGTAGATATGTCAGGATTGTCTGTCTTCTGTTCAACATCCTGTATAATCCCGTCTATCCTTCCTATCTGCGTGAGCGTTTCTCCTTTCTCCGTTCTCCGTTCTCCTGATGCTCTTTGCAGATCCCACCTTAAGACTTGAAACTCCTTCACACAAAACGGATTTTGCTTCATATTCTTTCACTGTTCATGCTGTTAGACTCTGGAACTCTTTGCCTGCCGATATACGTGACAGTCGCACTATTTCTGTGTTCAAAAAGAGTAAAGGATCATTATCTTTCCTGTTGTTGATATTGAATAGTGTAGGTATTATTAATCTTTATATATTATAGATATATATATTATTATTTATATAATGTTTGAACCGTTATGTATTTTTATTTTCTCTCTTTCCCGGTATTTGAATTTGTTTTTTTTATTCCATATTAATTTATTTAGGAGGTACACACTGACTACCTTATTGTATTTCTTTTTCCTGTTTTGGGCCTGCTGGTAGAAATTTCAATTTGAAATAAGCAGTGCCCTTGTACTAATGTCTGTTACATTTGTTCATATGAAATTGTATGTGTGTACAAAATAAATAAATAAATAAATAGACAATTCAACATTTTGTGGCGGCGGCCATCTTGTATATAAAATTTTGTCATAGTAAACAGTATTCTACTACTCAAGCCCTTTTATTTAATGTCCGTATTGAGGGAGTCGTGAAAAATATGTAGGTAATCCAACATTTTTGGTGGCGGCCATCTTGGATTTGAAATTTGTCATAGTGTTCAGTATTCTACTACTCAAGCCCTCTTATTTGATACCCATATTGATGGAATGGTGATAAAATATGTGATCCGACATTTTGTGGCGGCGGCCATCTTGTATCGATTTTCATCAAAGTGAAGAACACTCCCGACTAATACACCTTTTAAACAAAATCAAAATGGGTTCATCCGTTCGGGAACTATGATGCCACAAAAAGACACAAACACACCACACACACACACAGAGAGACATGTCAAACTTATAACACCGCGTCGTTTTTGCGTCCGGGATTAAAAATATATTGAATTTAGAAAAAAGTTGTTTCATATGCGGATCTCCGATAAATTTGATATCGGTCGAATTGCATCGAGCCATAAGTCTAAGTTAATCCTCATTACGTAAATCAACTTCTAGTGAAAGTCTCTTCAAAATTGGCCAAGCCGTTTCAGAGATTAGCCAGAACTAACAGACAGACAGATAAAATATATTATTTTTGTATATGTACCATGTATACACACAAATGTATTTAGTGAAAAGCAGTTATTTTAATATTACAAATATGCACTCCAATTTTATGTACTAGTATAAGTGTATTGAGAGAAGAAGTACCTTGCTTTATTTGCATTTCATAATATAAATATATATTTTAACTTTCTTATACAAATATACCTAGGGGTCTTTCGACCTATGCTGAAAATAACAAATGTGTATTAGAAATAATTCAATAAGCTATATAAATTCCATATAAATCGAACTTCGTGACCAAAGTTGGAAGTCCCACTATACTGCTCTATTTACGCTCGCTCGAACGTATCTAGATCGAAAAATGGCGCGAAGAAATGCGACACAGGTCTAACGTTGAGGAGCGCTCGCGCGGTACTGAGCTCAGACGGCCGCTGCATCTTATTTTGTAGTGATTTTGCGTTCACATTTATCGTATTTATTGAAATAATATAATAAATTTATCCTTTAAAATTATGATAACTTTGTTCCTTATGAAATAGTCATTAATCTGGCATAAATTTTGTTAAATAATATTGTTGTGGCTAAGAGAAATTCAAAGTTAACTTCAAGCAATTTTTGATGTTTTTTGGTTTGTAATATAATTGTTTTTCTATATTTAATCAGTGCTATTTCAAAATTTCGAGCTACTGTTTACTTTACGACTATATAAGAGATATCATTCTATTTCTTTTATTTCGTTTGTTAAGAACAGTAGCTCAATCCAGGACTTCAAAAAAGTGTCTTTGCGCATTTTATGAAAAACTTTCTCTGGTATTTTGGATTTAATTAAAAAGATGAGCAAAATTTCCAAAAAGTTGAGCCACTAATTTCTATACCAA